TGCACTCAAAATTGACTCAACAAGTCTAGCTGCTGCTGCTCTCACTCGCGCTGCTATACTCCGTTCTGCCCTACAACTGATGTATCGCTGCTCGTTGCTGTTGTTGTTATGCTGCTGGTGCTCGGCTACCAAATACACGCCAATGTGACACTCCGAAGTGAGAGAGTTGCTCGGCCAACTGAGTGCGACGCAATCCGGCGTGTAACTATGAGTGGTTTTCCAGTATGTGTCGAGCGTAGCAGCCAACATCGTCTAGCGACTACTGCAAAGCTAGCTTAACGCTCTCCCTGTGACAACTGATGGCTGTTGTTGTTGTTGTGCCGTGCTGCTGCTTGGCTGTTGCTGGCTCGCTGTTATTGCTGCTATTGCTGCTACTGTTGCTGCTGTTGTTATTGCTGCTGCTGCTACTCCTGTTGCTGCTGTGGCTGCTGTTGTTATTGCTGCTGCTGCTACTGCTGCTGCTACTGTTGCTACTGCTGTTGCTACTGCTGCTGTTGTTGTCATTATTGTTGTTGTTGCTGCTGTTGCTCTTGTTGCTACTGCTGCTGCAACTGTTGCTGCTACTGTTGCTACTGCTGCTGTTGTTGTTATTATTGTTGCTGTTGCTACGGCTGCTACTACTACTACGGCTGCTGCTACTGCTGCTACTACTGCTGCTGCTACTACTGCTGCTGCTACTACTACTACTACTGCTACTGCTGCTCCTGCCACGACCACCACCACTACAGTCTACTATTTCTACTGCACGCACCCTATACTGATGCACACAAAATACTAAACGCAAAGAGAAAGTCAAAGAAATAACGAAGCATCTTAATACTCACTCATGGTTGTTGGCAGGCATGTAGAGATTGAAGTCCTCGAACTTTATCTGCACGCGCTCGCGTCCCTTGCCGATGAAGCTGTATGTGCATTTCGTGTTCGGTGGGTAAGGGTTCGGGTAGCTGGGAGAGGTGAAGTTACCGTGCACCGGAGCGATCCTGTCGCCGCTGTAAATCACACGGCTGCATTCGACGCCTGCGAGGGGGAAGAACGAGGGGGTCTCGAGTGAATTCGCGGGAATACAGTCGGGAGAGTGTATTTTTTTTGGGGGGGGGGAATTCGGTTGAGGTGAGTGAATTCACGGGAATACAGTAAGGCGAGTGAATTCCGCAAGCGAGCGAAATTGTGGCAATACTGTAGGGCGAATTAATTCGTGAGAATACGGTAGAGCCAGTGAATTCGTGGGAATACTGTAGGGCGGGTAAATTTGCGGGAATCTTGTAGAGCAATTAAACTGACAGGAACCAAGTCGAGCGAGTGAATTAACAAAACGCGGCAATCAACCGCAGTCTAAATATTAACTTTGATTACTCTTGCATGACATCATTGACAATTAACACTTCTTAATTAGCTATCCGCGCGTCGACGACCGGCGCAGGCATCCGTCCGGTTGGTTAAATAGCTGGAGACGGTCGATCGATCGATTATAACCGAATGACAGCTTACGACGAGTAAAGGTTACCACGGACTATTAAAATTACATGCCCTGTACAAGCATGCAGCTCACAACGACCAGTAGCTTAACTGTATATATATATATATATATATATAGTAGGGACGCTACATATATATATATATATATATATATATATATATATATAGCATAGCTAACCGATATTGATCCGGGAGGGGGGACAAGTCAAGCAAATCTTAAAATGTAGAACAATATTATCTGCTAATATTTGTGGCAACTATCGTTAGTTATGTAGATGTCCACTTCTGTTGTGGGAAACTGAATACACCATGCAATATTAGGAGCGTATCCGTAACCCATTTTGCCTGGTGGTGGGGGGATGCAAAGCCACGTGCGTGGCATGTTATGAGACGGTGACTGACGTTGACCATTTACTGTTATCTAGGTTTTTTCTGGGTGTGGACAACTACCACCACTGACCATGTACTGTTATCTACTTTTTTCTCTGGGTGGATAACCTTGACAGTAACCCTAACCCTCACCCTAATCCTAACCCTCACCCTAACCCAAACCCTTACTTTAACCCCAAGCCCAACCCCAACTCTAACCCTTCCCCTAATCCCAACCCCAACTCTAACCCTTCCCCTAATCCCAACCCCAACTCTAACCCTTCCCCTAATCCCAACCCCAACTCTAACCCTTACCCTAATCCAAACCCCAACTCTAACCCTTACCCTAATCCAAACCCCAACTCTAACCCTTCCCCTAATCCCAACCCCAACTCTAACCCTTACCCTAATCCAAACCCCAACTCTAACCCTTCCCCTAATCCCAACCCCAACTCTAACCCTTCCCCTAATCCCAACCCCAACTCTAACCCTTCCCCTAATCCCAACCCCAACTCTAACCCTTCCCCTAATCCAAACCCCAACTCTAACCCTTACCCTAATCCAAACCCCAACTCTAACCCTTCCCCTAATCCCAACCCCAACTCTAACCCTTCCCCTAATCCCAACCCCAACTCTAACCCTTACCCTAATCCAGACCCCCATCTCTAACACTAACCCCAATCCTCCACCGCTAGCTACGGCCCTGGAGACGGCTCTACTGAAGCCACTGTTGTATAATTCACCCCCTGCCAACAAAGAGACCATTTCCACACGAAACTGTCAAGGATTTAAGGGCAGTTGTGCTCGCTCGATTCGTCTTACGTACGAAACCGCTTCTCGCTTTTCCAATAAACTTTTATCGGAATTTCGATTTATATTGTGCGGATTTCGATTCAATCCGCCGTTTCAATTCGTGGGAATAATTCATAGAACGTTCCCAGCTGCCATCATTACTGCTCATATAACTACGATTAAGTGTAAGCGGATTTTCATTATTGGTTACGCGCGCGATTTTCTATTCGAGAAGCAGACGAGAACAGAGAAAGCATCCATTCGTATGCCGCCAAACTTAAATCACATTAGGAAACAATGAGCGAACCAAAGACTACCATGCGACGTGTACTGCAAGTTTACAAAAACGTTGATAGTACGTAGAAGACGTTGAGCACGACGTTACCAGTTTGTAGCAGCGTTAGAGCAAACTTGTGGCCTTAATTTGCTGGTAAAAAGTTACATAAAATGGCATATACATAGACGGAGAAAGGAACAGGCGCTAGAAACAAACGATAGATAAAAGAACACGTCACGAGGGAACATCAGAATCAAATAGCAAACACTAATATTCATACGAATCAAAATAACACCCAACAAAATCACCAACAAACAATACGCATATTACTACACGGAATTTTATAGAAATTGTTACTATGAAAGTCCTGATATGGACAATAAATAGATCATTGACTTAAGTTAGCTACACCGATACTCTCTACAATAACAGCAAACATGGAAAGATCACTATTCTAAAAACAATTACGAAATCATTATAGAAAAGAGAACTAACTACTCACAATATAGGCAATGTAAACACAACTAGATGATAAACAATACATCACAAACAAGACAGATCCACACTCTTACATGCATTTCGTGCGCATAATTTATAGTTGGTAAGTTGGTTGGCATATTTTATAAAAGGGAATAAAAACTGGTTGTAATTACTCTATTAATTACATCATAGTTTACCCGCAATAAAAACACTATAACTGCACAAGGCGCAAGCTACGATTTAGTGTTGCAATTAATGTACCGAAATTGGAATTTGTCACACGATACAGAGATGGTAGAAACGCGTGTTCAGAATAGGCTAGCAATAATAAACATATATTATCTATCATACATCTATTAACCTCTCTCGTGAATATCCATGGAATCTTCGAAATATTGTAGAAATGAATAATATACAGTAGATATGCAGTTTATGCAGTAAAAATGCAAATATTTGTGAAATGCAGTTGAATTTCTTTTTAACTTTCCACAGAAAAAAAAAATCATTTGTTTTATTGCTACTATTTGCATGTCGTCCTTTATAACAGCGATTACTAATCGTTACCGAGTCATCAAACTACAGTTGGGCTCTAATGAAACTAGAATTGCGTAAATCACACTGTATACTAATTGACTTTTACAACGACTATTATCTCAGCAACGCAAAATGCCACGCGATCTGTACTTCTCCCCTCAGCCTCTTTACGCAATCCGCTAGCATACATATATCGGAACACTTTGTCTGATTAAATGGCGGAGAATGGTGAGGGGTGGGGGGAAGAATGAGACTGACTCATTCTCTTACTCTTTCGCTGCCTCTGAACTTGTGTGTGTGTGTGTGTGTGTGTGTGTGTGTGTGTGTGTGTGTGTGTGTGTGTGTGTGTGTGTGTGCGAGCGCGGTTTTGTGGTGTTGCGTTTTGCGTATCGTGATGTATGTATGTTATATGAGTATTATGTATGTCGTGTGTGTTGTGTCTGTCTGCGTCTGCGTGTGGTGTGTGTGTGTGGTGTGTGTGTGTTGTGTGTTGTGTGTGTGTTTGTGTGTGGTGTGCGTTTGCGTTTGGCGTGTGCGTGTATGTATGTATGTGTGTGTGTGTGGGGAGAAAGAATGAGGATGTCTTACTCTCTGACTCTTTGTTGACTTTCAGTCACCGAGTTCTTAAACTGCAGTTGTGTGAATCAGACCCGAATACCGATTGATTTTTGAAAAGGACCATTATCGTGGTGACACAAACCGACCCCTTTAGACCTTTGACAATCTCTCAGTTCTTCAGACAATCTGTCAGTAAGTGCTTCCGAGCACTCGGTCTGATTATATGGTATATAACACTTTCGCTGGATGCGAACTTCAGCCGGTGGATGTGAGACGTGTCAAGTGCAGTGAATGAATGGTCTCGAACTTTGTTTGTTTGTCGTTTGTTTGTTTGTTTGTTTGTTTGTAGTTTGTTTGTTTGTATTATAGGTGTAACGATACACTAGGGTCACGATACAAAACGTAGCTCGATACGTAAGTCATGATATGGTACGTACCGTGATACACACACGGAAAGAGAGAGATTTTGTAAATTGTATGCCAATAATAAATTTTCCATAACGTGAATTTACACGTTCACGATGCCAAATTATTTAACAATTTTGGTCTCTCGGCGTTTTGACGCATGCAAACTTAACACGCAGGACTTAGCAGGGGTTCCACGGTGTAATGTGCTGTGAACAACGCTTTGCTTGTCATTATCCCCTTCAATTTTTTTAATGAATACTCAATTTATTAATTAAATTCGTTAATTGCTTCAAACCTAATTTATAAGTCGTCGCCGATCGTTTGCGTCATGGGAGATAAAAAATTTAATTTCGAATAAAATCCCTATTACGTCCAGTCGATGGCACCCTCTCCCTTAAAACTCAAAGTGCAATTTCTCATCCTCATATCTCGGTTACTATATATCATAAATCAATCTCTATCTCGACAGTGCAGCCTCTTTTTGCTACTAAAAACTCTTTAAGCGAGCAGGGAAGATGATGTAGGATGAATATAATTAGGGTAAATGAAATTCTGAAGCCGAATTCGAAATTTTCAGCAAAAAAGTTAGAAACTCAAAAGTTGCCGTGAGCGTGCACACTGAATAGGTTTGATAACATATCCAGGAAGGATACCTCAAAACTCCAATAGGAATGGATCAATTAGGATAAACTTTTCCTAAAGCTGATCTCCTAACTCGCAGCAGATTTCGGTTAAAAATGCCTGCCGCTCCGACACTGCATGCTTGCACATTTACTGGTTTAGAAAACGTATCGGAATGGTCTTCGCTTACTGGCTCTGCTAATAATATATGATTCCACGCTAAAATGCAGCACCCATCTGCATCGAATGACAATGCTGTTAATTCAACTGAATATGCTAATTAACTACATTCAATATAGTATATGTTCAAACTGCATGTTCCCTCTATGAAATGAATACACGAATTACTAATTACTTCTTTTATTTAGTATAGTATGTGTTTCAGTTGTTCCCTCTAACCAGGTCAAGATGGTGTATAACTCACTGTATATTACATAAAGATACAATATAATTCACCTCTAAACAAATGCAGGTAGAAATGCAACACTGTTGCCTTACCGACTACAGTGTTTCTCGGTAAATTCGCACGTGGTAATTGCTGGCCTAGTGATCAATTATTCAACATGCGAGGCGCAACAATTTTGTTAACCATACATTCGTACACGACGCGCCTTCACCCAAACCTCGTAGATAGATTTTAACAAATATGCTTGAGCTGTCGTTAGATTATCATTTCAAGAAAGCTAACTGAAGCTATATAGTATAGCGATTGTCACCACGACATTAAACCCACGTACGTAGTATAACCAATTGGATATATGGATATATGGTTGGTTGGTTATCTTAATTCTGCCAATATATAGTCCGCGGGCCTGTTATCAGAACCAAAATTAGGCTTAACATTCGCCATATAATAACTTTAGACTGTTGACAGATCGATGGTAAAGTTACGAGTTTCTCATACATAGTGTATAGAGGTCCGGTCTACGAGGAAATGTTAATGTTCATGTTAAGATTAAAGTTCATGCTAAGATTAATGTTCATGCTAAGATTAATGTTCATGCTAATATTAATGTTCATGCTAAGATTAACGTTAATGTTATATATTGTTAAGATTAATGTTCATGCTAAGATTAATTTTAATCCTAAGATTAATTTTGTTTCTGACAACGGGCTCCGGATTTATTTCACCAAATACCAAATACTTTTAACATAAATTTCAATTTCGGTTTTGAGGTACTCGTACCTATTGTCTAACAAATAACCCAATTATTGTTATTGTGTATTGTTATTATTATTATTATTATTATTGTTATTGTTATTAGAAGCTCTCTGAACTCGTAATGATAATTCTTCTTCATTTTCTCTGAATCATCACAATCTGCGGACGCGGGAAGAACATAGCTTCATAACTCATAATGATAACGGGAAGAATAGGCTTCATAATACGTATGATACAAGGGAAGAAATTAGCTCTCGTGATCCGTATAATAACGGAAAGAACATAGCTCTCTGAAGCTGGTAATAGATAAGGGAAGACATAGCTCTCTGAATTGCGTATGATACGGGAAGAACATAGCTTCTGACCTGTATGATAAGGGGAAGAAAATAGTCTCGTGAACTCGTAATGATAACGGGAAGAAAATAGCTCTTGAAATCGTAATGATAGGGAAGAATAGGGCTCTTCTGATACGTAAATGATAACGGAAGAACATAGGACTCTCTACTGCGTATGATATACGGGTAAGAACTATAGCTTCTCTGACTCGTAATATAAGCGGGAAGAACATAGTGTCTCTGAAACTCGTATGATAACGGGAAGAAATTTGTTCATAATCGTATAATAAAGGGAAGAACATAGTCTGCTGACTGCGTAATAATACGGGAAGAACATAGGCTGCTTGAACTCAGTAATGATAACGGGAAGAACATAGCTGGTCTGAACTCGTAATGGATAACGGAAGAAGCATAGCTTGCTGAATCGTATGATAAGGGAAGAATAGGCGTCTCTGAACTCGTAATGATAACGGGAAGAACATAGCTCTCTGAACTCGTAATGATAACGGGAAGAACATAGCTCTCTGAACTCGTAATGATAACGGGAAGAACATAGCTTCCTGAACTCGTAATGATAGAACGGGAAGTAAATGCTATCTGAACTTCGTATAATAACGGGAAGAATAGCTTTTCTGACTCGTTATATGATAAGGGAAGAACATAGTTCATATCGTAATAATAACGGGAAACATAGCTCTGCTGAACTGAAGTAATAATAACGGGAAGAACATAGCTTGACGTGACTCGTAAGTGAATAAGGAAGAACATAGCTTCATGACTGTATAATAAGGGAAGAACTAGCTTCTGAACTCGTCATGATTAAGGGAAGAAATACTCTCTGATGCATCGTAATGATAACGGGGATAGAAATAGTCTCTGAACCTGAGTAATTGATAAGGAAGAAATAGTGGTCTGAATGCGTATGATAAGGGAAGAAGCATAGCTCTCTGAACTCGTAAATGATGAAGGGAAGAACATGCTCTGCTGAACTGTAATGATAAGGGAGTAACATAGCTCTCTGAACTCGTATGAGTAGGGAAGAAGCATAAGCTCTGTGAACTGGAGTAATAATAAAGGGAAGAACATAGCTGCTTGATAGCTGCGTAATGATAACGGGAAAGAAATAGCTTCATAACTCTGTAATAATACAGGGAAGAACATAAGCTCTGCTGAACTGCGATATAATAACGGAGAACATGCTCTCTGAACTCGCTAAGATAGGAGAAAGAACATAGCTTCATAATGTAATAAATACGGAAGAACATGCTATCTGACTTCGTATGATAACGGATAAACATTAGTCTCTGAGCTCGTATTATAACGGGAAGAACATAGCTGCTCTAACTCGTAATGATAACGGGAAGAACATAGCTCTCTGAACTCGTAAATGATAACGGGAAGAACATAGGCTCTCTGAAACTCGTTAATGATAACGGGAAGAACATAGCTCTCTGAACTCGTATGATAAAAGGGAAGAAGCTAGGCTCTGTGATGCGTATGATTAACGGGAAGAAGATGGCTTCTGAACTCGTAATGATAACGGGAAGAACATAGCTCTCTGAACTCGTAATGATAGGGAAGAACATAGCTCTCTGAACTGTATGATAAGGGCAAGAAGCATTAGGGCTTGTCTGATCGTAATGATAACTGGGATAGAGACATAGCTCTCTGAATCATAATGATAACGGGAAGAACATAGCTCGCTGAACTCGTAAATGAAACGGGAAGAACATAGCTCTCTGAACTCGTAATGATAACGGGAAGAACATAGCTTCATAAACTCGTAATGATAACGGAGAAATAGGATTCAAACTGCGTAATAATAACGTAAGAACATAGCTCTCTGAACTGTATGATAACGGAAGAACATAGCTCTCTTGAACTGTAATGATAACGGGAAGAAGCATATAGGCTCTCTGACTAGTATGTATAAGCGGGAAGAACATAGCTCCTGAAGTCGTATGATAAGCGAAGAACATTAGTATCTGATCATCGTATGATAAGGGAAGAACATAGTTATAATAGTAATAATAGGGGAAAGACATAGCTGCTCTGACTCGTATGCTAAGGAGAAATAGCTCTCTGACTATAATGATAACGAAGCAACATAGTTCTAAACTGCATAATGAAACGGGAAGAGATAGCTCTCGTGATGCGGGTAATGATTAAAGGGAAGAACTAGCGTTCTACTGCGTAATGATAAACGACGAAGAAAATAGCTCTTGACTCGTAATGATTAAGCGGGAAGAAGGATGCCTCTTGACTCGTAATATAAAGGGAAGAAACATAGGCTTCGTCGAACTCGTAATGATAACGGGAAGAACATAGCTCTCTGAATCGTATGATAAGCGGGAAGAACATAGAGCTCTCTGAACTCGTAATGATAACGGGAAGAACATAGCTTCTGACTCGTAATTGATAACAGGGAAGAACATAGGGTCTCTGAACTCGTATGATAAAGGAAGAACATAGCTGCTTGAACTCGTAAATGATAGGTGAAGACATAGGCTCTCTGAACTGCTATGGAATCAACGAGAAGAACATAGCTACTTCTGACTCGTATGATAACGGAAGAACATGGCTCATAAAATGATGTATGATAAGGTAAGAACATAGCTTTCTGAACTCGCTATGATAAGGGAAGAACATAGGCTCTCTGACTGTATATATAACGGGAGAAAATTCAGCTCTCTGATAGTATGATACGAAGAACATAGGCTATCTGAAGCTCGTAATGATACGGGAAGAACATAGCTCTCTGAACTGTATGATAACGGGTAAAACATGCTGCTCTGACTCGTAATGATCAACGGGAGAATGCTGCTCTGAATCGTAATGATAACGGGAAGAACATAGCTTTGCTGACTCGTTAAGTAACAGAATCAGAGTGCAGAGGACTATAATGAAGACACGAGTTTGACGTCGATCAACTCGCTAGATCGCCACTGCGAACAGCAGCAAAGAGTGTATTAATGTCATCGTTTACTATAGAT